AACGAATAATGACAATCTTCACTACATTGGAATTTATGAAAAGTAATTATATACAATTCATTGAGACATTTACATAAAGCAGAAAAATATTAAATATAAAATATTCATTTCAGGTAGAACTCGGATTAGATAATCCAACCAATACACGAAAGTTAATAATTGCATCTATTTATGTTAATATTTATAAATATTTATGGTAAAATAGTCCTTTTGTCCTTCATAACAATTTTGTAACAGTTGATTACGTAGCAAATATTCATGTAAAATGGAAAATAAATATTATGGAATTACTACTAAGCTTCCTTTAAGTAGAATAAACGAGTTATGGGCAGACACATCAGCCTCTGCCATTGTACTGATCAAAAATATAATAATACTCAATAACTGTCAACAAAATCTCACTGTACGTCAAATATTCATATGACTCAAGGATACTGATTCGAAAATAACTATTAAAATGTTCAATACATTTTCTGTCCATAACGGAAATACCAGCTGTCCGAAGATTATAGAAACATGAAGCTGCCTACAGCGAAACACTCAAGTAATAATGTTCAAATCCTTTCTACTTTCTTAACGTTCATGTCTGAACAGTACACACAGAAGTGTTATCAATAAATTAAATTCCCACTCAATCTGATGAAGAAGAAGGAACGAAAGCTCTCATAAAGCAATTTACTCCAAAAACATCCATCTATCTTTCCCAAGAAATTAGCGCGGTGCTCTCTAATTCCAGGAATTATGCGGCAGCACGTACACGGTAACGACATCGCTGCACGCTTTTTCTAAGCAATCAATCGCACTTGATGCCATTAGTCACCCTTTGTCCCGTACCCAAGAGCAGTCCAAGCGAAATTCCTTTCTCCATTTACCCGGGGCCCGTCGAACGGCACTCGCGTGACCGTAAGAGCGGTTTCCGGTTCCAGTGAAGATGAAGGAAAGCCTGGTGGAATGCTGCCTGGCTTTTTCTGCGCTGGTTCTTGGCTCCACGGCAGTGTCCACGGAGGGACGAAAAAGCGCAAGGTTGGGCTAATTGAGCGAGGACTCGATTACGAGTCGGTCCTCTCTGTGTTTCTCCACACGTACCGCAGAGACCGCTGCGGGGTCTAACCCCTAGCCTGTGTATAAAGTTGGCAGATCACTCGGTGTCTAGACTGAGGAATGCGGGTCTGATCGGTCAGCTTTTAATTGTTCTTGTCTCATTTCCGATGTTAATTTGCTATTTGGCCAATATGGTTACACGTAACCAATTAAAACTATAAACGAAACAATAAACGACAAACCAGTCTTGATTCCTGTTTTGTCTTAATTGAGATCAAGTTACCGTGTGCACTTTAAGAGACAAGATCTGAAAGAAATGCAGGTCTAATTGGTTAGTTTTCATGTTTTCTTATCTCACTTTCGATATCAACACATCGCATGAGGATATATTTCGCCGCGGACCAATGAGTGTAGCGATCATTTACGATTATTCGTATTTATACGAGTCTACTAAATGCATACTTCTACGTGACCCGTGCTCAAGTGACAGACCGCAAAAAAACGTAAAAGTACGTTTCCCGCATGCAATGTGTTAATCCTTTAAGTGCTGTTGGCGCATATATGCGCCCAGCGAAAGTCATCGCTATGGACTATGGGCAAATATATGCGTTTTTCAATCTTTTTAATCTGATACGTGCCGTGGTGACAATTATACATAAATGCACGTGATTAATATACACATTCCTTAACACATTGTTGATCGGTCATGAGTTAACTCTTGTTTGCACTTGCATTAGATATTTCTATTCTAGAAACGCTGGACAATATAGAATATTGCAAAAGAAAAATATTGGACGTTGTATAAAAGATATGTCCAAAGTTTCATTCGAATTCATTATGTATAAATAAAGTATATTGTAGTTTATTTAGATTATTTAGTCTCACTTTTATGTTTAATTACAGAATAATAACAGATGACACGGAATAGATTCTACGTAAAATTGCAAGTCAAGTGCACGTATACCGAGGCTATTCTCAAAGTCAAATTTCTCGAAAAGGAAGCCTGAAATGAGAAAATTTTATTCTGCATTTTCAATTCACTTCTTCACGTAGAATCCTCGCCTCTGCTTAGTTGTAACACCGCTTACCGAACACCTTATACATCTAAGAGCTCGATGTCTCATTTTAGTTACATTTGTTAGGTTAGTTACATTAGGTAGGTACTGGAAAAAAATAATGATAGCGAATGCTTCAACATTACAATTATCAGGTGACTCGTGAATCTGAATCACCCCCGACATTTTCTTATAATTATCAAAAAGATGTACTTACTCTTTAAACCCTTTGCACTCGGAAGTTTCTCACTAGAAATATTTAACATTTTTTGACCAGACGAACACAATATTTATTTAAACTAACTCGAAGGAAAATCACAAGCACATTGAGGAACAAAGCTATTTTATTCCAATACTTCATGTATCGAGGCATTATACAACGTTCAACATTAAATATCAGATTTTATAGTTTTACTGCGTCAAATCAACTGGCGAATGAGTGTCACATCCCGAGTGCAATGGGTTAATAAATTCTGACATCAATTGATATAGCAACAAGCAAATTAAAACATAAGTAAATTGATATCTCAATAAATAAAAAAATACGCTTTCATAGTTTCCATAACAAAAAGTAAAAACTAATCAATTGAACTGCTCGGTAGTTTTAACGTCGAGCTCATTTTACCTCGCACGCCGCTCCTTGGCATCCCTTGTACCGCTTACGTCACGGGAAATTATGTCGGCCAAAAATTTTTGGCGGACCCTCTCCTATACGTGACCGAATGGCGATCGATGGTTTTATCCGATCCAAGGACAACAAAGCTGGAATTGGAAGGGAAAGATATCAGTTGAATTGCGAAGGAACGGTGTGCGTGTCGCGAGGAATAAAAAGGAGAGGGTGATGTGGTAACCTGGGAGATTGATGACTGTTACGATAGACGGTTGCGAGATGAATGTAGGCGTTTTGTATTGTAATGTATATTGAGTTACGGGTTATTTATCGCCGATAGATCGCGTTCCCAGAGAACCATTAATAGTATGATTTATCGAAGTAAAAGTGGCTCGTTCATCGATAGTTTGTTATTGTGTGGTTTGCATATCATCTATAATAGGTAACCGTTTTTTCAAGAATATTTTCATGATATTATTAAAACTGCAGTTCCTTTCTAACAAAGTCAGCTGATGCTATATGGTAATATTAATTGTTTAGATTTGGTTTTTGTTAATTTTTATTGTTTAAAGATATTGTAGTGTTATTCTTATAGCTTTTTTTCAGCATTAAAGTGGCTTTTAATGTTCTAAACAATTATTTAATGTTCTGTTATGTTGCAATACCATATGAGAACACATCACTGATAGATGCTTTTTCTGAAGAAATTTTGTTTGTAAGTAGTTTCTACTAAAATATTTCATGCACGTTTATTTTATCAGTTATCATTCCCGTTGGGGGTTCACAAATTTTGAAGAACTTCCCTGGTATATAATAATATAACTATTGTGGTATTAATGGAAATAATTATACTTTATTTTTAAAAATCATAGGAATAGTTAACCGAATAAGATACAAATAAATAGAAACAATATAGTTCGCAGTGTACAGGTCTTCTCTCCTCCAAAGCCGTCGCGACTCTCTCCCAGAAACTCTCGCCATCCGCACTTAAAAATCATTCTCTCCCCCATAAACATTCTTCTCACTCGCACTTTCAACAAACTCTCAACCACACCCTACTCCCACCACCACGCACTCATCCTCGCTTACACATCGCTCGAAAAATTCACCAACCCTTGGGCCTGGTCTTCATCAGTCCCTTTCTCTATTATGGTCTACTTGCTGTCTTTCAGGATACTGGTCCACTGCCTTAAAATTACAATACCACACGATTATTATAGTATAATGGAAATTCACGATCTGTTGGATTTATATATTTGAGGGCTTTTGTATTACAAAAATATTTGTAATTGCATTGCAAAAATACAACTATAACTTCTCTATATGTTAAGGAAAATAGATTAACATTTGACTAGATTAATCATTTAAATGATTAATGTAAAAAGAGTTACCTTTTAATATGTTATATAAATAAGTATAATTTCCTGAAGTGTGTTTCAAGAGTTAGATTCTTTTTTAAAAAGTGTATAATTTTTAGCCCGAATAACGTTCCGAATCACGTATTTCATAAAATTAAAGGTCATACTTTAATGGAAAAAAATCAATGAAATATTTGATCTGTTATGTACATAGTTTAAACTACAAAATACAGTCAAAGAAATCATAAATTTGCAATATTATGTTGATATTTTTCTTGTTAATGACAATTTTACCATGAAAAGCTAATAATATAAAGGGAAGACGAATTATTTTATTATACAAAATCTAATAAAAGAATTTCAAACGCAACAGTCTTAAAAAAATCTTATAAATAATAAAATCGTTGCAGGTGTAGGTATTAAAAGAAAACATTAATAAAATAAGCCTTGAACATAACAAATAGTATACCATGTTGTTTTCTATTTTATTCTCTCCCATAAACTGTAAATATTTTATATAAATAACGCGAGATCTAAAAATTCCGTTTTTAGAAATAACCTGCAATAAAGCTACTCCGGGCAAGAAATAACGTAAAACATCCTTCCTTTATTTTATTCTCTTTCATAAACTGTGAGTATTAGAAGCAATCCGAAACATCCGAAATTTAGGGGCTGTCTTTCTAAAAACAGCCCCTAATAAACCTACTGCAAACAAGAAATGGCGTACAGTATCGCTCTTTTATTTTAAACTCTTTCATAAAACGCGAATATTAGGAACGACCTTAATTTATTTAAATGATAGTGTATGTATAGGACTGATCAAATAAAATTCCCGGCAAAAACGTATAGAAATAGGTTGAAGGCAAAAGGGGACGCTTTCAGCCTTTGATTAAAAGCAAATAAATTTTAAGATAGACATTTTGTCTGTGCTTTCAGACGATTGCTCCGAGCTTCCATGAAGGCACCGCACCGCAGCGACCATGAAGACTGATTGCCTGCCAATAATTGCCAAGTTCTGTGCACTGCTGTCGCTGATCGGTCCGCCGCGCAATGCTCGGGCACTCGATATACGTGAGTCACTCTTTCCTTTCCGAAAATTATAACGTATAAACGCGTATAACGTCATACACCGGGCAATCGCAGCGCCTCTATTACGATTATTAATTACACGCATACCACGGCGCAAGCCGGGTACAGAAATTCCCCTGTTTTATTCAGATTTCAATCATTTCGGTCCTCTATTACGTAGAGCCGGCGAATTTTAATAGATCATGAATATGAAAGTGACCTTCGCGCGGATACAAATTTCATTTTAAACGGTGCGGCACTCTTCGCGTCCGTGGGCGTCGCGAAACACATTATTCTCGGTAATATCTACTAAATGTCGGAAAATTTGACGCCCGATTCAATTATTACGGCAGATTTGAACGGCCGTGCGCTGCGTTTAAGCCTATATCGACGAACTTCGCGAAGCGTGCAACAAAATTTGTAACCGGATTGCGGATTTTTTAATTCGATATTAACACGTAGAGAATTTTTACGTTTCAACGACGCGCACTGTTGCGGTCAGTAAAATTGCACCTCTGTGTGTACTCATAAATGAGATTTGTGTAAAATATATACTGTTTGTAATTTTAGTGAAAACATATTTACTTTTAATTATTTATTGATTCTTTCTGATATGTTATATATATATATTTTCTGGAAAGTAGATCACCTCTTTACTTCGTTGCTCTTTTAAAAAGGTTAAACCAGCAGCTTTAGTATCTTTAACCCCTTGTCATACTATTTAACTCGGCAAAATCCGGGCCATACTTATGGCGACCGATCTCTCATTCGTGTTGTCACTTCGAGTCAGACTCGTGATATTTATGTTAGCTCAAAATTTTTATCGCGAGTCCAACTCGTTGAAGCACGGCAAGGGGTTAAAATGCCACAATTTGTATAAGAATTCGATGTGCTCGCATTGTATGTAGTATTGTATCACAATGAAAAAGACAGACTCTTTTTACAAATGTATTTTGTTTAATAGTATCACATACATGAAGGAAATAGTAGGTACATCAAATGCCTGTTAAATTTAAAGATGATTCTTTAATTTTTTAAATACATTTTCTATACGTTTGGTACATTTCGGAATACAGGTGCAAATATAAAGCTTTTGAAATGATGTGTTCCTTCAATAGAGAAAGGCAGTGATTCATTGTCAGTAGAAACAAATGCAATAGGTTTCAGTCATCTGGGTCAAAAACTCATCCCCATTTGTACAACCATAAATAGAACAACAAACTATTCTGAATACATAACCTGTTAAACAGATATGAATAAGTGTGATGTCACTACTACATATTGTTAGCAAATATAATTGATAACTAATAATAAATTAGATTGAGGCGGAATCTGGATCGGGGGTGTCAGAAGGTACGAAAGAAAGTTCGTAACTGAGACTAGACTTTATTGTAAAGACGGTCGGTACAATCCGCGTAGCTCCGTGACCGTTCTCGATGACTTCTCAACCAGAACTCCCTTCAACCTGCATTCGCTCGCTCATTTATCCCTACGAACATCATTCTCTCTTCATTCCCACGGTTCGCTTTCACTCTAAACTATCCATGCTCACCCTATGCGACACTCGATCCATCATCTAAACATCCTCTCAACACTATCGCGCAGCGCACAACTGCAAAAAACAAAAACGAATGCAATATATGTACATAAAACATTATTTACAGTTTTGCAGCAAGAGTTCTATATATCTTACATAACTCTGCAATTGATTGAAAGTGCAAATTTGTTTGCAGAATTTAAAATATTTTCAACGCTTTTATATTGAAAAATTATTCCTCTTTCATACACAAGTATGTTCGTACTGAAGAATACTGTAATATATCCGATTTCTAACAACCACTTGCATTGTAAATATAAGAAAAATAGTATTTATATTAAAGTCTAAATTATAATTATCACTGTTGTGTTTATATTATAGTTATGGTTCAATATAATGTAAATCATTTCTTTGAACATTCAAAAGCTTAATAGCATATATTACAAAGTTAAACACAGTTTTAATAAATTTGTACATTGATAGCTCAAGCATGTATAATACTCCTTGGTGTTCTCAAGATACCTTTGAGACTCTGATATTTTGGAGTACCTAATTGACCAATAGCCTTTAACGGTGTTCTACGAGAATCTACTATAGTCCTCCTCACTAATGTTCTAGCATTCTTTGGTATTTTTATGGTTAATGATTTTTTGATATGTGGAGTCCTACAAAGTGAACTACCTGGTTTATACACACTTAATTTGGAATCATCCAAGATCGTTTTGATAAGTATTTGTTCCATATTGATAGTGTTTTTACAATCACATTTGAAGACGTGGCGCCGGTTTGTCGCCGCCACAAGATAAATATTCGGCACCTCCCTTGAATATTTATACTAAGTTTAACTTAAACTTTATAGAAATTAAAGCATTATTTTAACTACAAAACTAAGATTCAAATGAATTCTATGTTCCACGATGACGTCCTTGACCTGTATTTTTCAATACACTAACGGAATGCAAAACACAGACTTTTACTTACAGTGGGCATTTTGTAAAATAATCAATTCTAGAATCAAACGAGTTAGAACTGTAAACAAATAATTCATAATATTACAGGCATATAGCTAACTTTATTACTTTTTTCTTCAACAACCGTAAATCTTTAATCTAACAACTTCGAGAGGCAGACCTTTATTAACGTTTTCCCCAAAAACTCAGTTTTTAAGGCCAAACGCTAAAGCTCCAAACTTTCAAGTTTATCACATCATTATTTGCAAAGGCGCAATTACGTCGAACAAGATAAAATAAAATCTTGAAACTTATCCCGTCGTCCAATTATACATCGACGGAGTTGGCTCTCGGAGGGAACGTACTCCGAGTACCGTTCCACTCTTCCAATTTTTTTTCGAAAATTGAAGGGCATCCCTGGTCGAATGAGGATTACCTCGAGGCAAAGCGAACTCCGGGGCTAAGAAAGAGATGGACGAGTACACCGATCCCGGGCAACGAATTTTTCCCAGTGTTGCAGCTGCGGATTGCTCATTCCGGTGAAAACAACCCGTTCGAAGGCATATCCCTTCCGTCTTCCTCTCCTTCGCTGGAACCGAGCCCGGTTTTCAGGGCCCGGGGCCGTCAAATTTTTCATCGGGAGCAGGTGATCTCCGAGTTTTTATTTTCCTCCCGGCCAGCTCGGGCGATGGGGGTGCCATCAGTCTGAAGTAACGACTCGCTATTCTGCACCCGCCCGGGGGATCAATTATTTTGAATCTAATGCGACAGGATAAATTGCATCCCACGAAAGACTACTCGTGCCATCCTCTCACCTCCGCTTGCCGCCCCGCACCGATTCTCCCTCCCGTGATCCAGTTCCCAGTATCTAGCCCTTCCTCTTATCCACGGTCACGATGCAGCCGATGGCCAGGTTCGAAGGGATTGGGCCGATTTTACGCCGGAAGGCACTCTCGTCTTCGGAAAACAACCTCCTCGTTACTAGGTTTCTACATCCCATCTCATCACTCGACAAATTGCCAATAAACATCCATCGATTGCTCTGCCGGCTCTATGTATATTAAATATCCCGACCTGTTAACGATGCACTGTCTGGTTATCTATGATTTTTAGTGAGTGCTGGGAGGTATCAATAATTTCTAGGTAAATGTTCACTGGCACATGTTAAGAGAGATGTCTGTTTTAACCAGTTAACTGCGTTTGACGAGTACACACTTAATGTTTTTATTCAATTGCGCGCAAAACGAGAGATATTTGAAACTAAATTCCACAGTTAACAGATTAGTGAGTGTCACATCTGGTACCTGTGACTACATGTAATTACTTTAATAACTTAGTTGTTTTCGATGAGTATACTTGTCATGAGGGAAAGTCAAGGTCTTGTATGATGACGAGTATACTCGTCCAAAAACAGCTAACTGGTTAAGAAAGTATTTATTTTCGAAATAACCAATTTTTCAAGTATACATTACGTAAATGAAAATTGTTGAAATAATTATTTGTTGTTATGATCACTTACGAAGTCGCAACAGCTAACTGGTTAAATTGAGATTGTACAGTGGTTCCAGATTAAGAAGTTATAAATTTCTTAAATAATATTTTAAAAATTATATATTTCGCATTTGAAAACTTTTTAAAGTAAATATGTTATCATCTGTTATCAATGTTTATAAACACTTTATTACTAAAGAGGTAATCAGTGTTATGTCTTTTATCTTTTGAATTTTTATTTATTGAATACATATATGTGTACTTTTTCCAATTTCTTAATTTCTTAACTTTTGTCGACTACACATTATAACTTGTCCTGTCATTCCAAATTCAAGCAAAATAACAAACTGGTGGAAATATTAATTGTTTTAAAATAAGAGCACCCAAATTAAAGCAAGAGTAACACAGAGTAACACAGTTAAAAGAATTAGAAAAAATTTTAATATAAATAAAAAGTATAAGTATTATTCATAAAAGAATTTGACATCGTTTTAAAGAAAAAGGATTTTTCCCAAAAATATTTAATGAATGTCTCATAAAAATATCGTGTAACCCACGATCACTTCAAACTATAAAATATTAAGTCTACCGGAAAGTTCTGTCCGATATCTCAAGTTTCCATAGACAAGTAATTTTACAAAAATAAAATCTACAAATTACCATCACATTGAGTATAGGTCATTAGTAACAATGGAAATTATATCACTCAGTAACTATTAATAAATGTATTGAAAATGTATTATTTTCTGTTATTTTAAAAACGAATCAACTTCCCGGTAGACCTAATACTTGCAAAATTCTCAGTTTATCGACGCCTTCGCTACAAAACTGTAACGAAGCAGTCAGTGTCCCTCATCACATATCTAAAATATCGTTCTTCGATCTTTGATAGTAGAAATACCGCACACGTTCACCCGAACCTTCGAAACTTTTTTTCACCTGACGCCCGTAAAGTTGACTTTATACGTGCTGGAAACTCCTAATATATTCTACAAAGACGCGAGTGACTTTTCGCCCACGAGAGC